CCCTTTCTCTCGTATACATTTGCGCACATACACAGACCTTTTTGAAAGCTCCTGTTTTCAGAAAGGTTTTATTTATAGGTCCTGCCTGGTTGTGAATGTGAAAGGGAGAAAGCCCCTCAGAGGGTTCCTTTCATGTGTAAATCAGGCTAGGCTGGGAGCATTGGGGTCACAGAGAGGAGGATTTCACTCTTAATTACTCAGAGAGAAAGCAGGCAGGGGACTTTCTCAAACTAATAGGGTTGTTCTCTGCTGGGGAAAGCAGCTTGAGACGCCCAAGTTTCTCTTGCATCAGACGTGGGGCTCTGATTCACAGGCTGCTTCTGCCAGTAGCGAGAGCTGGTGTCTATGTGGCGCTTGTAACAAACAGTTCAGCTTCCAAACCGGCTTACTTATTACAGATGGTTATGTTCATTCTGATAATTGGGTGTTCTTTGGAGACCAGTGGAAGAACTGACCTAGTTTGCTTTATTTTTATGCTGCTTTTATTGAAAAATCATGTTAGTCTGTGCTGCATATATCTGTGACTCCATCTGAGGACCTCAGTGTTCTTCCAGACGTACCTGAAAGCTCCCATCTCTCTGCCAAGTAGAAAAACGTTATTGTGTAGAGATCAGTCCAGTGAGCAGGGCTCTGAACTTGGACTTAAAACCAGCACTGAATTCCCAGTTCAGCCACCAAATGCCTTTGTGACCTTTGACAAGAGACTCATTACCCTGTCCCAGCTGTGAAACAGCCTAATCTTCTCTCTAGAATGGGGCTGTTAAGAACAAAAGTCAATATGGGTGGTGAAACTCTTGGTACTAAGGCTGCGAACGCCAAGGTAAGCGTGGGTGACGAGCATGTCTGAGGAGATGTGTCTTTTTCCTGGAGCATGGTGCAAGCACCTGGATTCCCCTGCTGAAGTAGCATTGTCACCTGTGGATTCCCCTGCTGAAGTAGCGTTGTCACCTTTCATCTATCAACACAAAACTGAATCTGGAAACCTGCTGCGGAGACGGGAACGCCCCAGTCGCAAGCCACGCGGTTCTCTGCAGGATCCACAGGCCTTGCTTGTGCAACCACACGCTAATACGAAGTGCAGCTGCAACGTGCAGCGGTCAGTAGTTGCAGGGAAGAGATCTGCGTTAAGTGCACACGCACGCACAAGCAAGTATATTTTTTAACTTCAGTTGACTCAGTTAAAATTGCCTCCTCTCATCTGCACCTCCTTTTCCTATGGCCTCTGCTTTTCTGGATAGGAAACAATTGCTCTGAGGGCCGAACCTTCCCCTGCCTGTGCGCAAACAGCCCCCTGGCAGCCCTGGTACGGGACTGTCGAGGCTGCGTTAGTTCAGCTTGCCTGGGAAGGCAGAGGTTGTAGTCGGGGAGCACCTGTTTGAGGAAGCTCGCGGGAGCGGTGGGGGCCGTCGGCAGAGGAGGTCAGCAGTCTGAAGTGTCTGCAGAGGTCAGAGAGAAATGAATGGGTCATTTCTTTTGCAAATGAAGAGCTGCAGCCCGGAGCAGCCTTAGCAGAGCCCAGCATGTGGGTCCAGGCTGTTCCTTTTATGAGCTGATGGAAATGGGGCCCAAAAGGACTTCCCTGATGGAGTTCTGTCACAGCCTTTGTTATCTTTGCCTCCCGCAGCAGGGGCTGGGCATAGAATATGGATTGGTGGTGATCCTGGCTACCGGCACAGTCAAGAGGCTGAAGGCTTTATGGCTGCATAGCAAACCTAAGGCTGCAGGGTATCCTTATTGCCATTCCACAAGGAAAATCTTGTTTTGAGATGTAGAACACATGTTTGTTTCTGCTTTAGTGCTCCCTTTTTACCCAACCTACACTAAAATGAGTAAATCCAAGGGCTGCTTTAAAATAACGCACGTAACTGAGTAACAGGGATTAAAAAGCCTGGGTTCTATTCTTCGTTCTGGTGGTGAACTGTCAGTTACTTTGACAAAGCCCTATGAATGCCTTATGCCTCACTTTTTCTCTAAAACACTGAAGAATAGTGGTGTGTTCTTTTTTCTAAAACATTTTGAGGATTTGGGGGACAGAGTGCTTTATATATGCAAAATGTTGCTGTTAGTAGCACCATCTGTCAATGCAACAACTATTTTTGTCTACTTTTTACGCAACAATGTTACTTTTCCGAATTGTTGATTTAGAATTAATTTTGTTATATAAACAATGTCCGTTCTGTCTGGCCATTTGCTCTTTTGCTTCTTTGCAGACCACCGGGGAACTTCTTTTGCTGTGACATTGCAATGGGAGGTGGAGACACCTCGAGGAGAAGGTTGAAACAGGCAACAGCAATTGCAGTCAGTAACATCTGACTTGAGAAAATCTTGCCTCAGCTACAGCTTTGTGTGTGATCCGTGCGTGCCGTCTTTCCTGTGTACAGGTATTTAAAATAAGGCAGGACATGGAAATAAGTGTTTCCCTTGTAGGAGCTGTAGGAACAGCTTCCTATTATTATTGTCTTTTCACAGCCTCAGGTAGAGTAGGGCAGGGTCAGGGTTTCCAGGGGAAGGCAGCTAAGGTTGGAGTAACTGTGCTCAGGGTTTTTCCTCACTGCTGTGATGTTACAGCCATGACAAGCAGCTAGAAGTTCGAACAGTCCTGGGACTGCCAGAACTTGCACTAAAGAGAAAAAGGAACTGAGGTTTAGATTTTATTTTTCAACCCCTGCTATGTGTGAAGGATTGTTTTTTTATGGCGTTTATCTCCATTTTCCTGTAGAAACCTCAGGAGGACTGTCCACCCTTCGAATCTGTTTTGATGTGTTTTAAAGGCATGATAGGGAGCACAGCCACTCTCAGTAGGCTGCAGAAAGAGGACGTAAAATCATCATATGTCTTCGGAGGGGTAAGCGTGTTCTTTATTTCCTAGAAGCGTCAGCCAGGTTTACACCACTTTGTAAGAAGAGCTGCAAGAGAAGATGAATATTTCTGAGGGCTCGGGGACAATTTCATGTTTGGGATAAGGCTGAGGTTAGCCGTGGAGCCTGTGTCCAGGCAGTAATTTGACAGCAGACATGGGCACACAGTAACACAGTCTCTGAAAATCACAGAAGCCTGCTGAGTTATTGTGAGCTGGAGGAGCTTTGCTGTTTGTGGGCACATGGGTCTGCCTGCCCCGCATTGTGCCGACATAACTGAGACATAAAGGAGGCTGGCAAATTGCAGAACACTGATGGAAGGGGGGACAGGGGGCAGACGGAGAAAAGTTAAGAGTTTGTAGACAAAGGGCTCAAGCCTCGTTGTGAATTCCTAGCAGGTAGCTGGGCTTTAAATGAAAGCATTTGTCAAGTAACGTACTGATTTAACGTGGGAATTGGGTAGATATCTGCAAAGGTTTTTGCACCCTATTTGCAGTGTGATTACAGGAGATGTTAACAGAGAAAGTGGTTTTACTTTCTACCAAGGTGTGTATTTGTTCATGTACCTAAACTACGCGGGGCAAGCAGTATAGATGACACCATAGGAAGCGAGACAGGGATGGCACTATGGGGGTACGGCCATATAATGTCCCCACAGATTATGACTGGTTGCAAATAAGGCATATAACTTGCCTTCCTTCTGTTGGTACAGTACCATACTGTGAGCACCATCGTTGGCTTATCCAGGGCCTTGCATCAGCAGCACGTTGCTGTACCTGGCTGACGGTCTGTATCCCCTGTCCCACCTGGGCAATGCACCCTACTCAGCATCTCCATGACGAGGAGCGGCTTTCTTGGACCCTGCATTATCTCCTTTCACTGCGCTGGGGCCTCGGTGTCGTGATGTAGTTGCTTGGTTGTACTCGGCAGTGGCCGTGATCAGGCTGCACGTCCACGCTGTGCCCGTCGCTGAACTGCTGGAACAAATGCGTTCCACAGCGCGCAGCCAGCAGCTCCCCTCTGGTCGGTGTGCGTCCCCTTTTTGTGCCTGCCAGGACGCAGCGAGGGAACAGAACAGGCTCTGCAGGGCAGGTTGGTAGGCATTCCCCCTGCGCTCCCCCCCGTATCCTACCACAGCCCTAGCTGATGCATGGGGTCATAGTATTTTGAGATTGGTGCCTCATTTCAGACTTTTTTTTTTAACTTTCAAAAGCCTGTTCTTGAGCCTCGAACTATTCCCATGCTGGAGCCTTGTGAGTTAATTGCCAAGGACTCACAGGTTGCTGATAGATGTGTGCAGAAAGTAGCTACATGGTTGGCCATTCCTGTAAATCATTGGACTCTTCATAAATTTCATTCTGGGCTTTTCCTTAAAAGCCCTCTCCCAAACTGGACGCAAGACAATGGACACCAGCAGGCATGGCTCCCAGTGACTGGGATATTGTCACATATCCAAAAGCCTGGTGGGAGGAGCAGACATTAGGTCTGAATTCATCCTGGCAGGGAGATTCGGCTGAGAGAGGAGGAAAAGAAGGTCACAGGCAGCTCCAAGGAAACGGCTTTGGTTTAAAATGTTTCATTAGAGTTTTCACACTGGAAATACAAAGTACGGGAATACAATTGCTTGGCAGAGGAACCACATTTAGTAACAGTCCTGTATACACTCAGCACTCTATACAGAAGGAGACAAAATATATCCCTGGCCACCTCAGCAAAATTACGCGTTCCTCTTGTAAATGCGACTCTTTTCCAAAGTAGCTTACATCATCTGGAGATGTTTATCGATACTGATAAAAGATGTTCTTTTTCCAGTAGACCATTGCTCTCTGCTGTAGCCACGCAGCCTTTGCAGGGCAGGCTAGCTCTATCTAAGCAACATATCAGTGTCATCCAGCTGGGAACACTATTGGGATGCTCACCTCGCATCGTTTCCCTTCCCCTCTGTGTCTGTCTCTGATTTTGCCTGTTGTAACTCAATAAGATAATCACGGTCACCCTTTTCCAAAGGGTTAGTCTTCCCCTTGTTGATTTGACAAGCTCCTTTTTTGAAGATAGTTCTTACCTGCCACTTGAGCTGTGTCGCCTCGGGGTGTTTTACCTCCCGGTGCAGGCAGGGTTGGGAGTTTGGACTGGCGGACATACCTGCGAGATCTGCCAGTGCGGGCTTCTGGCGCGCGTCGCCAGTGAGGAGGTAGGAAATGGGATGCCAGTGTGTCTTGCCTGCTTTCTTCTTTTGGGACATAGCTTGACCACAGAACTGGGCAGTTGAAATGTCACAGAGGAGTATGTGGTGTGGATGGATTTTTTATGGGAAGCCAGGATTAGTTTACATTTGTTTTTCTCTGTTTTAAGTTATAGGTGAAAAACTTGGAGGGGCTTTGTCATTACATCCCAGTGGCAGTTTTAAATTTACTCTGGCTTCAAAAGAAGTGTTTCCCAACAGACTGGCAAAATAAAAGTACACATACAGGGTCCTGCAAAGGTCATTCCTGACCAGACCCTGAAACAGCTGAAGTACGGATTGTCAATCTTTCACACTGCCAACCCCCATGGCATGTTTGTACCCAGGTTCTTTTGTCAGCACGTCAAATAATTTTTATGTTCTTCGCTGACTGTGCTGGGCAGTGTGTTGTCAGGGCCCTGGGTGCACCGGCTGACTCTGCAACCTCTTCCCCCTGTCCTACAGGTTTGGCTGCCTGTGTCCAAGGTCTGCCCTGATATGGTGGAGCGCAACCTGGGATCAGAGCGCTGTGAAGAGTGCTGTGTGCCAAAGAGCTGAGAGAAGCCTGCTGGGGCCTCCCCGCTTCCCGTGGGAGCTGCGGCACAGAGCTGCCCTTGTCCTCGGTCCTAGTCTGGGGTAGGCTGTAGGGGTGTCTGTGCCTGGCCGCGGACCGTGCTGACCCTGACTTGCTGACTTGACTTTCTGGCTCGGCCTCAGACCCGGCTCATCCCTGTGGGCTTGTCTGACAGTTGTCGGGCTCCTGGCTAAACGTGGTTACTGTCACCAGACCTGCTCCGCTCTTCTGTCTTGGCCCGTGTGGCACTGTGCCCCTTTACGCTGCGGTCCTGTCCCTGCCAGCCTTTGCTCCTGGTGCTCCCCAGGCTCCCCTGCGGCTGCTGCGCTGCCCTGCTCCCGGCGTTGGCCGCAGCCCTCTAGACACTGCATCTCCGCCTGTCTGAGACATCAGAGAGTAACCAGGCAGTGATACGGGAGACACTGTGGGATCGTGCTGGTTTATTGCTACGACAGATAAGGAAGATGTGGCGTTAGCTTTGCCTCCCTTCGCTTCCAACTTCTGAAAAGCCAAACCGAAAACCGGCTCTATTGGCAAGAGCTCGGACCGCTAAGGAAAGAGCCGGCAGGAGGAGCTCTCTAGACATTTCGCTGGATCATTTTCGGACAGTCATAGCCGCGTGTTTCAAGGGCATCACTTCAGATCTGCTTTCTTGGGACTTCCTTGCAGACAACCCAGCAGCAGCAGAAGACAGAGGCAACTTCGTGGCACTGCAACTGAGCAGCTCCAGTGATTTTTTTTTTTTTTTTTTTTTCTGGGATTTTTGGGTAGTAAAATGTTCCAGGACCTTGTGTTTGTGGTTTGGTTTGTGGTTTTGTTTGTTTGTTTGTTTGTTTGGGTTTGCTCCCGTGTTTTTTTTTTTTTTTTTTTTCTCTGAGACTTCTGCGGTTCCTTCTCCCACCTTGATGTCTTTCTCTGTCATTGTATCAGAAACTTAGCGTTCCTGAAGATGTTAGGGATTCTTTTTGGTCCCTGGAAAGGGCCAAGTGTTTTGTCTTCCAAGAAAGCTAGTGTAAGATTTTATGGACAGCATCCTAACCACAAAGTAAAGAATTCCAAAACAATGCTTATCTTTGCATGGAAAGATATCCTCCTGGATTCCTCACGACCTCCGAGGGGACCTGTAAGCAAAGCAGCTCTGAAATGTATCAGTACCACTCTGAATATTGGCTTGACAAAGTTATTCAGCTAGTTCTGCCTCCTTGCCTACAGTTCATCTCTTTCTTCTGTCGGAAGCAGGTACGGAGGACAGCAGTCACGCTTTGCACAGCACTGTGTTCTCGTTAGTTAGGTGCAAAGTACCACCCTGCTTCTTAAGGCCTGCAGCCCTAAATTGCCTGGGCCCTGCGGCCGTGCCTCTGCACCACCTTTAAAAAAAGTGTTAAGATTTTGGTTTGTTTTTTTTTTAATGTGGTGAATTGAATTCTCTACTTTTGTAAATCTGGCCCTTATTTAGTTATCTAAATGGCAACTACATGCCTTCTGGTCTTGAATGTTGCTGTAATAATTATTTTGATTCTGAATGTGTCAGAAACTATTCTAATGCATATCAGTGCAAATTAAGTCAATAGAGATTCTTCAAATTTATCCTGGTGTTCAAGAGAATGGAATTCATGCACTTCAATTTACAGCTTATTAAGTGATCAGAATTAATGAACTTGCAACAACCTTTTCTGTTCTTGTTTACACGTTTTCTTTCTATTCACTCATAATGTACATGATTTAGAAAAAGCAGAGAGTTGAAAAGGCAGCGTGTGGGTCAGATATGTCCCACGGAGCACAGCATTGTGCTTCAGGCTTTAATCATATTTGCAAAGCCGCTATGTAGAAATGGCACCTTCTGACTCCGTTGATGCACGGAAACCCAGCTCGATTTTCAGAACCCTCTCTGCATTCTGAAAGCTAGAAAAATATTTGTACTGAGGAACGGGGCAGGTGTTCTTCGGAGTCACTGGAGTTTAACAGATGCAGAACAATTCCTCCTTTTTTTTTTTCCCCCAAAAGTCATTTTTTTCAGTGTAGTACCATATTCCAGTCTGGCGGTTGGGAATAATGCAAGCCATTGGATCCACCTTTCCTTTTATTTTGAGATTTGGAAGTCAACTTGGGTTTATGTCAGGTTTTCTTGGTGACATCCCTCTTTTTCCCAAGACCAACTGCGGGTTATCTTACTGTGGTTCATTCAGTTCAGGGCTGGAATGACAAAAGGTTCCCTTTGATTTTCATAATGTTTAAGGCTAAACTTGTGAGGCTGCACGCTCATCTGGACATCGTTCCTCTCTGACTTCATGGAACGGTACAACTTCTAAATGCTCCATCTGATCAATTGCAAAAATTTCAGAGACTTCCTATTATTACTGGGAGAGAGAGAGAGATTTGTGAAAATACTAGGAAATAAAAAAGGGAAAAATAGGGGAGCAGCAGTAATTTAGATACTGCTGCGTTTGTAGATGAAGCAACTGGGTGATAGCTCTCGCGTGCCAATAAGTTTATCTCATCTCTGTCTATCACTCTAGAAAAGTTATCGTGTGAGCACACTGAAAGATCTGTCACCAGATAAATACAGGGCTTGTATGCAACCTCTGCAGAACTGGAGGAGAATGGAGATCCAAAGTTAGAAGGGAAAAGGAAGGGGGACACAGAGCAAGCCCGATGTGAGGGGGTTAAGGGTACCCCACTACAGCAGTAGTGTGGATGTGCATAAAACCCTGATAGTGACACTGAGAGGACCCATTTACTCAGGGAGAGGAGGTAGATGGGGCATTAAAATGCTATTGTAGGAGAGAACGAGGGATTCCTGAAGAGGAAAATGTTGGAATCACAGCAACCGTAGGTAGGCAGCCTGCTTGGGGGCACACACATGCCCCAGGCATTGGAGGGGGAGCTGATAGGCTTGGAAAGGTGGCATATGAGGCATTTGTGCAGGGGGGGAGCGCGGCTTATGGAGTAAATCCCTGTATGAGAGCAAAATCTTCAAAGGAACGGCTGTAGGTGGTGAACTGCCCTCAAGAAATGAGAAATAGAGGGCGGGCCAGCCATCTCACGCTGAGCAGCTATGCTGACAGAGCTGCTGAGAGCGAGGGGGGCCAAGGCAGCAAATGGGACAGGTTGTTTCAAACCCTGTGGGCTGATTCTGGCTGATGTCCGACTTGCTGAAAACCAGAGAAACTGGTTAGTAACTCAGGCGGGCTAGAGTGGAGCCCAGGGCTGGACAGATCTCCGAGCAGAGCCACACAAGCAGCTAACTGTGAACTTGGTCCCTGCGGAGCGGCTGAAACTGCCGGCCTGGGTGCTCCGCTCCGTGCTGGTGGGGAGGTGGTGCACCTCAGGGGCTGCCCGTGACAGTACCGTGCCGAGGCAGGTAGTCTCTGGAAGGTGGGGTATGGCAAGTTCCTAGCTCTTTTTACCTCTTTTTGCTTAGGTACTTGCATACCAATGTTACAAGACGAGAAAGACCCTCAGAGGAAAGAGTAGTGAAGTGATGCCAGGCTCACTCTGAGGATTTGTGAAAACGGAGAGAGGATAGCCCGTGGTTGCCTTTGAGGAAGGCAGAGCATGCTGGATTCATAGGACTCAGCTTTAACTACCACTGACTTAAAATTCTGATGGAAAACCAAATATGCCTTAATATAAGTTTCAAGTACTGTTCTGTTTTCTGAAGTTGTTACCTTTTTTCCTCTTTCTTTCTTAGCGCTGAGTGTTCAAGCCCACAAAGCAATATCTTAACAACACTGCTAGTATTTCCAAGTTTTGTTTCTTTAAGAAGTTCATAAAACTTGTCACAATACCCCAGTAAAGCTCTTTCTGCTGCGCTATCTAATCCAAAGTAGTTTATATCAGATTTACGTTCTGGCAGCTCTGTGATAAACTTGGACTCTACCACGTTACAAACACAAAAGATTACTTAAAGTTGTTGTTACTGAATTTGAAGGACTCTTTTGTTTCGTGCAGTCCTGTACCCTCATACCAGGGTTGTGGTCTCCATGGCGCTGCAGCTCATACATTTACAAACTTAGGCAGCCTGGGATGAAGGCACTTCCACCAGCGAAAATTTAATATGTTGGTAGATTTAACCTCTTCTTTGAGTTAAAATTGTGGATGTCTAAAGCACAGTAGAAGACACAAAGCATTGGAGAATTCCGTGAGGGCTGGTATTTTGACCAAAGGGTCCTTGAGATGTAAATGCTAGGTTTTTCTTCTCTCATGTAGGTCCCCTTAAACCTGATGACTCAATTCATAAGGCTCCCCTGAAACCCTGGATCAACCTTGTGAAATTCATAGAAAAAGATAATTATGCAGAAAATTATCAGACTCTTGATTTCCCCCTCCCCGGTGTCAGGCCTTGCAAACTTGAGCCTGAAAACATAAAAGACTGAAACTATGATGTCAGTCACACCCTCAACACAAAGATTATAGGTGTAACCAGAGGAGGAATTCATCGCAAAAT